GTCGTCATGCCGCTCCCCACTTTTGTCACAACATTCCACACTTACCCCTCAATAGCAGTGCAGTTTTTGGAAGGCAGCAACACCCACTTCACGCCAATGCTCCAACCACAAAGTCATCCGCCAAATCTCACTCGGATGGGGTTTGGACACACACGCACTCATTCCCCCTCCTCTAGTCCTCCCACTCACACCTCCCACCGATCCATCCATTCCACTCCACTCCAAACTACTCTGGTGTTCATGCATGCAGGATGCACAGATCCACACACCAATGCCACACCACCACACTACTCCTGACGGTACCAACCTGGTCACAAGCAAACCATGAAAGTGACACTGAGTGCAGACATTCGATGTGCACGACAGCAGTCACCGAGTGTGAAGAGGAGATTTGCTCCTCACTCAATCATCTCTCACCTCCATGTCATGCATACACATCTGTCGGGGACATCAGCTATCCTCCCTCTGTTTCGTACACAATGACAGAATCGGTGGTCGTGACTTGATCGCCTCCTCCACCATCTGGACTGTGGTTTTCGCCACGATCACTAGTCAGATGGACCATACTCCGCCCCTCCTTCTCCCCTCCTCAATGGAGAGCAACATAGACAACGCCAAGACCACACCAATCGCCTTGTCTGTCAGGACATCGTCACCGCCACCTCCACCGTCACCAACAGTGGCAAATCCGCCCTCCACTCAACACCCAATCAACAGTCACCTGATCCCCATTCGGCCGACTGGTCGATCAATCACGTGACGCCACACCGACCATGGCGACGCCCATGGACACTTTGTGTTGCATCACCTCGATTGCGATACGAAACAACACGAGCCAGACTAAAGCCTGCACCGACTTGTTGACGGTTTAACTGTCAACTTGGATGGGTGAAGGACCGCTGTCCATCTTCTCGACCATTCTCATTTTTGTACGGGTTTCGCAACTTTGCTAGATCTTTCATTTAGTTTTTCTTTAAAGTTTTTTTTTTAATTTTAAATACGGTGCAAAGGTTACTACTAATTTCTATTTTGCGGTCCATATGAGCAAAAACTTGATTTTTGAACGTGTCTTACCGTGTTTTCCCTTTAGCTTTTCCGTTAGGAATGTAAATCGCCAATGTTCGCAGTTGCACAGTCCTTTGCACTTGGCTTGTGCATCCGCCATCAAGATGGCAGTACATTTTATTTTTCGTCTTTTTATTGCATCTAACTCTCTTTCGCATTTAAGCCTTTGATCAGGAAATTGTATATTCACATTGTCCAAAGCAGCGGCATTCGCTAGTGCGGAATTAAATTTTGTTAATTTCGGTGTCCTGATGCCTTTTAATTCTCCACAATACACACTTTTCGGCGAATTTATTTGTTGCAGTTTGGACAATGAATATTTTGGAATGGCCTGCGCTAGGACATGTTTGTGTGTGACTGTCAAAACTTCAAAGTTACACATAAATGTATTTTCGGTTTAAAGACAAGAGTGCTCATTTAAGCTTTGCTTTTAAATGAGGTATTTCATCAAAGGTAATCAGCACCAAATTTCAGGATTTTACGTATTAAATCATTTGTCTTATTCGCGCAAAGCCTGCACTCACGAGCCTCTATGGAGAGGTATCTTTTAAAATTTTGACCGTTGCTCCAATTAACAATTTTTTTAAGACAATGAATTTTAAATGCGCTAAAAATATATTGGATTTGCGTGAAATACTTAAAGGTCAATTGGGCGAAGCGCCACAGAATTGGTTCCCCTTGTGGATAGTAAGTTATCTGTAAAACATAAGACTGAAAAATCGACTAAGAATAGATCTTTGAGAAATCCGTCTCTGTATGTTTCCTGCTAACCGCACAAAATATGCTCGCAAGAAGGTGGCACGATAAAGGCGAATGCCGGAGGAAAAATTTATGAAATCAATCTTTGACTACCTCTTAATTAGGCAGATAAGGTTCATTGCATGGTTTCAATTTATGTTTGTTTAAAACGACAAATGGAGTTAGTAAGAGTTTATAACAACTAGGATGTTGCCAATAATCAATGAAACACAGAGTAGTATTAAAATGATGGCTAAAAAGCAGGCTGCCGTGATAGCATCCTCAGAAATTTATTTAAAAGCACTTATGGGTAGATCACTCGGGTTTGAATCGGTCCGAATTGCCGCCAATAGAGCAACCAGTGGTAGCAACAGTGAGATGGATGCTTTAAACAAAAAGAAGGCAAAAGCACATAACATGTAAAATATAAGCTCAGTTAAATTTTTTGTAGTTTTATTTGAAATTACGGCTTAATTGATATTTAGTTTTTTCCATATTTAGATATTAGTGTAAAATTTTGCTTTCTCGCAAAGTTACCTCCTTTTATTCTCCTACAATAAAATGCAGACAAATTGCACACTTAAATCTTGAAAATTCAGTCAATAGGTCGCATTTTTTTTAAATTTTATAGGATCACAGCCATAGCGCCATGTTTATGTGACCACGTAATGCCCGACGTATGAAGTTGGATTTTGTCTTCCCCTTGTTTATGCAGTGTGGTCTGTGGGTCATAACAAAGGCTAGTTCCTTATGATTTCCCTACAATACGACCATTCAAATTAACTTAATGATTTTTTCACCAATTGGGAGGTCTCGGGTCGTTACAGCTACGGTAATTTGGACCGAAGTTAGCGATAAATGCAGGTGGTGCTTTAATTACGGCTACCTGTATTATTTCTACCACAAGCGAATACTCACTATGACTGCCAACTACCTTAAAACTTAACCAATTCCTTATTTTAAAATTGCCGTTCCGCATAATATTTTATTCGATCATTTGCATAAATACTGTAAGTAACCATTGTGGGGGGTGAGCCACCACATCCATATTTTTCAGTTAATCGATACATAATCGTCCACTTCGGCAAAACTCTACTCCTATGCAATTTATGCTGTCATACACCACCTCGCATTTTATAACCCCTACGGCGTAGATTGGAGCATAACTTGACCGCAAATTGATCTAACAACGCTACACTCTGCCCCATTGTTGCATTACGATGAGATCGTAAAATACACATGAGTATGTTTTGTTGCCAACGCCAGAGATTTTGAAGTATAATCTACATTTCTGCCAGCGACCGGAGAAATTTTGAAACGAATAAATGGTGGTTAATGATGCGTTTTGTCACGCCTTCCTCCCCACATCGTAGGCTTTAAAGCGAGGGCGTTTAAGACACCAACAATCAAATAGCACACCTTCAAAACAACTTTTCGCCGCTTTACCAATTTCCAATCAGATTCACAAAGTACTTCTTAGTAGTTCGTTGATTGCAAGAGTCTGAAGGGGACAAATGTCCACATAATTGCCTCCAGCACCGCTTCCAGCCCCGTTCATCGTTCCGTCCGCTAATTCACTTCCTCGCACCGCGTTCAGATGAGCTTCCATGGACTTGGCCAGACGCCTTGACAGTCGAGAGGACGGTTGTCGTGCCAGACGTTCACAACTGCGAGAGGAAAGAGAGGAGGAATGGAGCCGTGGTGGATCAGAATGGACATTTTGACCTCCAACAGCAGCAGAAGCAGCGGCAGAGGGTGGCTGAAAGTCCAGCATTGCGTAATTTAACGTAGAAGTGATTAATGATGCGATTTCCCTTCCAAAGAAATGCGGAACCATAACTGCTGAATGTGAAGATGATGATTTCGTCTCTTGACTTCGAAAAAGGCTCCGTACGTTCTCGTAAGTACCTATCCGATGCTGCAAAGATGAAAACTATTGCACTTTATTTCATTGATTAAAAGGAAGCACAATTTTGCATCAATACGCTACCAAAGGCGCTGGATCATTCATTGGTGTATATGGGACGATTTCCTGAATCTTTGGAGGCGCAGATGCTAGTGGTGGAGGCGTTGGTAGCGACAGTTCAGTCATACAATCCGAACTGCCTTCTCTACGATCATAGCTACCTTCTTCAGTCTTTCCTCGTCCAGTGAGCTCAGTAGTGGGTTGGAGGAGGTTTGTCCATGAACGATTCAGTACTGGAGGAAGTAAAGGAGGGATATTGACGTAGGCACGATTGCTGGTCATTAATGGTGGTGGTGGAGGAGGCACAGAAGGGGGTGCTGATAAGACATTCGAAGGACAGCAAACAGCCGAACGCGTCTTTAGGGTCCTCGAACGCTTCTGGTGGTCGATGTGGGCCTTAAACAAAATAAAAAAGAACTATTGGTTTTAACTACTTAAAAATGATAAGTAGGAGTGCTATTTTCCCAATACCTCGAGGTTTTTCCTAAACTTTGTTATATTTGGGATACGAAAGAGATAGTGACCCTCTCCACGGGGAGCTCGTCGACCTGTTTCCATCTTGAAGAGACATCCGTGAAAGGCGAATTGACGGAGTGTCGTTAGTGGCCACTCCAATCGCAGAGTCTCCATTTGGGACGTCGATCGCTGATCGCAACCAACAAGAGCTTGGACACTAGGAGTCTCCAAATCTGCGCATTGACGGCTATATAAAGGACACCATTTAACAACGATTATTGCACGGTAATGCATGCAGTAGTTCATCTTAGTTTCAGTTCCCATAGTTGAGAATACTCTGCTCCACTTTGAGAGGTGAAGAAGATGAGGAATAAGGATGTAATTAAAAGCGATCCGACCGGATCGTGGTATCTTCTGCATCCTTCTGCAAGGAAGGCCGCTGTTAGTGCAAAAACACTGCAATTTAAGAGCCTTTCGATGCCTTTATGGCGAAAGAAGTTATAGAAATCAGAAGGTCTATTTTGCATGCCAATGCGCGGGCCATTTTTTGGGATCCTCCGCCAATGGATATTCTAACTACAGGTATGGGACAAATGTTCACAGCATTATTTTGAAAATTTACATCCATGCGAGAATAGCGGGTCCTCTGATTGTGAGAAACACATTAGACACAAGCAAGACCTACAGGAACATACATGGAACTAAAAATAGTCTCACAATGAAACGGTGAAAGTGACCGCAATTTCTATTTTAGATAGCGATCAGGCAAAACAAATCACTTCGCCTACGCAAGGGATGGAGGGCAGTGTTTGAAACGGGAAGCAGCAGTTGTTTGTGATACAGGGATAAATAGAGGTCCTGTGGCACTACCTACCGCTGCATCACACACGCACGCACGCACACACACACTCGTCAATTTTTGATTGGCTAATTGTCCTGCAATTCAAGGTCGCCCATAGGAGATATGAGTGAGGTACTGTGCAAACCGGCCATTCAAGTGCGCACTTGAACAAATTGGCAGAATTTCTGTTTATTATGAAAGGAATTTATTCCCTCTAGGGCACCAATAACAACACTTCAGTGTTCCAATGAAGACTTGCTCCTTTCCAGACTGCAAGAAGGTGCAAAAGGTTAGTCCAGTCTGTCGTGGTGCATTTTTAAGGTCTTTGAGAGACTATTAAAGCCTCATCACAAGCTCAAGAGCCGTCTCGGAGAATGTGCATCTATTAGTCTCGGTTGCCATGACTAAAAGTGTACAAAAATTTAGAGGGTACCATCGTTGAAGTGACATTTGTTTTACGGAGTTAAGCAATGAAATACCTCGCTGGTGTAACCCTACGACCCAATTTTCCCACTTCACAAGAGCGGATGCAACCAGATGGTAGAGCGGAGGCCTTTAGATCTACCACACATGTTCATTAACTGGTGACTGCACAAGAGAGGTTTGGGAGATTACAGTGCAGAGTGGACTTTCTTTTAATAGGGGTCTCTCGACCACATTCATCTAAGGTGTAAGGCTGAAGCAAGCTTAACAAAGTACATCAAAAACTGCAAACACAAAATAGATTCGACTTTTGACAGGAGCCGAAAACATAGTTCTCCTCCCTTCGCTCTCCCACGCCCAGCCAGGAATAAAGGGGAGTAAAAATGTGGGAAATAGGGGAAGTACAAGGCCACAAACTTGGTGAAAATGCCAAGTCCTGTCAATCGACCGCCGAATGGCAGATTACTTTGGAAAGGCGTGCACAATCACTATTAGACAATCAGCGATAGTAAAGGCAGTAGAAAACATTTAAATGGTCGATTCTTCTTCCCTCAGGCAAGCAGTTAGTTGACTAGGGCCGTCTGAAAGTTAGTCCAAGATGCACGTGCTTGCATCACTGCCAAATGTCTTTAACATACACTTCACATACTTTGCCCACTCTGTGATTGGGAGGAACTGCTGCCAACTCAAAAGCGATGCGACTAACGAAGCACCTTCATTTTCACCCCAGGCTGAAACTATGCCAAAAACTGATGATTGACGGACGTTGATGAAGAAGACAAAGGAGAGGCAAACTAGTGCATTCACATTTTACAGCTGAATGCCACACAAACATAACCCGAATTTTTTTTCTCCCTCACAAAAAACACGTCTAGCAGCAGAAACAACAGCAAGTTTGCCACCCAGAGAAATACATGTGGTAACAACACTCATATCCCTCATTCTGACCAAGATTTTATGCTGCTGGCAATTCATTAGTTAAGTGTTCTACTTTCAGTTTTATGAAATCAAGGGCGGCATGCATCTGGACGAATCGACCACTTTTTCCTTTTGCCAGCCTCTTACACGAAGAGTCAAAAAGATACTCCTTTTACAAATGACAAGTGTACCTATACATACGCGACATCGACTGCGTAGACTAAAGCACTCTTCTAATAACAAAAACAACCTACACAGCTGCCATGAACTATGCTTATTGAAGTGGCAAATGATCTATTTTAAGCATGTCTAGATCCTGGTAACAACTGTGTTGAATCCTAATTTTCTAGGGGCAGCGACTAGATTAATCAGTTTGGTACTACAATGGAAAGGCAATACGCCTGGAAGGGGGCAGTCTACTTTCCTCCCAAAGTCGGATAGCTCTGTACACTTTTAGTGCAGCAATGTATACAAATGCTTGCAAACCAAATGACTATGCACGGTTTTAGTGGTGTTATTATCAGAACTCACCACTAACTTGGTAAGATATACAACAAAAATTAAGCAGCTTAATGGACACAGTAGCCAAATCGGAGGGGCCTACCGCATGGAAGCACAGATAAGTAAGGCCGTAGCTTTTCACAGTAAAGGCAAGAGCGATACAGCTGTCAAAGGCTTTACGCATCTAGAACGACATCTGAGTGGTAAATAATCCCCTTGGACCAAAGACCTTAAAACGTGTGTTATTTTAAAAAGCACCAAAACATCAAAATATAAGCGTTTGCTGCAATCAACGACAGAAAAGCGGAAAGGCAAACGGAAGAACAGACGTACTTATTTTTTGATTTCTTGGAAATCAGTGTTGTCCACAACTGTTTGATCCCACGTTTACGAAAATTAGAGGGACTATGAACGCTTGACCAAAGCTTTCTGCCGCTAGAAAAGCATCCTGATTGAGATGAAAATAGCGATTGGCAAGAAAAGTTGGAATCATTTTCCACTGTCCAGTAAGATAGATCAAAAACTGTCCCTGAATTTAATTGATCGCAATTGATAGAGAAGCCATAGTCAACTGCTAAAGCAAAATTAAAGTATGTCGAGTGTGTGTAAATACAAAAAAATCCATTAAAATAAGGAGTCTTCTCAACTTACAGTAGTTTGGTGCTGAGGGACTAAGGAGCTCCAAATCACCAGGTCCACCCAAATACGCTGGAATTTTTAGGTCTGCATCCCTCGAAAAGAATACAAGACAACCATTTGAGCAAGTAAGGGATCCTGATATTCGACAAGCTTCTAGCTGAAGCCGACAAGATGAGTTTAAGCGCACGCCACTGTCGTCTGGAAGGCCAACAGAATCTAATTTTTGGAGAGCGTCGACTGAGAGAAGTTTGGCACCTATACTGAAAGTAGTGCCACCTTTTTTAGAGGTTTTCTGAGGAAGGGCCGTCTTTGTCAAGTTATTGGAGTAAGAACGAAGGGCGCCCGAAGACATACGTGGCGGTACCAAGGTGTTGCGAATCATGTGAGCAGGCAAAGAAGTGGCTTCAAGGTGTTGATTAAACGGTAAATCGCCAAGCCAAATACCGCAAAGTTCAGCATTAAAAACAAATTGTTGTCTCATTTTTGGACTGAAGTGCAATCCAGAAGAATTAAAATGTATGCTTTCAGCATTGGGATATGACAAACAATCCATTGATGTTTTGCATAAACGGCAGAATAAAAAAGTACTTTTTAAGAAGATTAAACTTTGCACAAATAGCTGGTATCCAAATTAACGCTAAGATGTAACTTTGCTAGCAGTTTCCTAATAAGTTCAGAACTGGCCAAAAAAGAAGAACTACTCAAACGCGTTCCAGACCGCAAAAATCACAGAATACAAGTAATGCTATGTGATAAAACAAAATGCAGTTTAGTTTTTAAAATACGTTTAGGAATTTGTGTAGCTAAAATTAGTAAAATGTGTTATAATTTTTATTAACCTTGATTTATGTTTTTTTTAAATTCATATATAAAGGATTATTAGTTCGAGCAAACAGAATTACTCCTTAATGGTCAATTGCGCCTACTTTCTTCGGCACAATTTATTGTTTGTTACGCAATATTTAAGATTTACATGTAAATCTAATGCAACAAATTGTGTCCATCTGAGTCTGCTCATCATACTAAGTTAGACATTTTGTTTGACTTTCACTTGGCGACACCACCGTGAACTATGTGGAGAAATTTCGTGTCGGAAATGACACAACCGTTTTTCCTTACATACGGCACAGTGGCTCATCCCGTTTTAACTGTAACAAATATGATTTAGACCAGCGTTGCACCGTCTATTCCTGCAAGAAATTGATGGTCATGAGGTGTATGCGGCCCTAATCTGGTTGTCAGACCGAGCGTAGCTCCGAATCAAGTTGAAGCTGCTGTAGTAACGAATATGATGTGATGGGTGATGCAAAAGGTGTACCAAAGTGGAGCGCTGAAGACGTCGCTCAAAAGAAGTGAGCGGTTGTGCAATGCTTTGTTTATGTGATTACCGGACATTTGGTGCTCACTTTAGGATTTGTCTGGGCCTTGTACATGCAAGCTGGCCTTCGGGCAATGCTCAGGCCAATTTACTCTGTCGTCTTTGGAATGCGTGTATCCTTATAGGATGTCTCGGACGGCTGGACGTCAAGGTTTCACACAAATCTGGAACTTTACAGTCAATCCTTTTTTGGCTTCGTTATCGATTATCATTTGACACACCTCAAGTGCAAGCGATCATATGTTCGGTACTACAGCAAAAGCCTACGAGCAGGCCGAGCCAGACATTATCCACCGTAATATCCATTGTCTTCCCTTTATCTATTCAACAGCGTTAACCGGATCCGGAATTGTCTGAGAACTAGGGACTTTAGTAAGTATTTTCTGTTGATCGTCATTCGTATCCAGTAATGTGAGTAAGTACCGTGATCTGGAACAATTGTTGAGGTGGGAAGACGGGAACAGGCATTTTCTCATAATCAAAAGTACCTCGAGGGCGAAACTCTTCCGTATGGTTCCTGGCAGCGTCACTTCAGTTTTAGGGGATTCTGAAGGGCAATAAAATTGTGATGGGATAAGAAAATAATTCGAGGAATTCCAACCCCGATATAATATATTCTAGTTGTTTAAGTGGACTTTTATAGGCGAGAGGCGAAAACCAATTGGAAGCGTGGATCACGTGCGCGAGGTCGACGAGGAGCCTCCCTGCGATTGACACCTGTTCATCACATCTGTATCTTATTCCCCTATTCTTCTTATAGAGATGCCTAATAAATCGTCTACAACCAACTTCCCCTTAAAGTCTGAGAACCAGGGACCAGAGGCTAGACAGGCAGTAACTACACCCGAAGTGAAGTGATGACATCAATAATATAGGATATGAATTCCACCGCTAAATGTGTAGCTTTCTGAGGGAATGGGCCCTAATTTTTCCAGGGTTCCGCCTACACGTACATGGACATTACGTAAGCAATGAATAGCATTAGGTATCAGCATTTGAACGCAAGCTTGCTATATCATTCGACTCGTAGGTCTAGCATCCACAGACCACTTGATGATCTGTCACTAAAGCGGTTATTGGTCTATAGTGGTCTGGATCAGAGCAGAAGTAAAATGTTCAGCACTATCGCGCCATTACTCTCGCAGTTTTAAGTACTTCACTTGATTGCCGGTTAGGATTTTGTGCACTTAAGTGGCCAAATGGTCTATTGAGTAAAAAGGTTATTGAGATTCCATAAACTTCACTTCCCTCCTTTTTACTAATAAGTAAGCGCATCTCTTTAAAAATTTTGCTGATTTTTATCCTTGAAAATATATTTCTAAAGCATTACCTCATTGTAAGATATCTTGGTTAATGGAATCGCATTCGATTAAAACACTAGGCATTGAAACTCACTACGAGCTAATAATTTAAAGCCTCCTCCTAGAATCAGCCTTATACAACGGATGCAACTGTTCCTTTTGAAATTGCGTACCTTTTCACAAATTATCGACAAACACCTTTCAGCATTTAAAACTTCCCTCTAATTTAAGTAGACATAAGTTGAATTCATGTATCCAAGGGAGACCAAGGGAATTAGACTTATGCTTGACACGAAGACTATTGCATGCATACAAGTGAGGTCTATCATAACAAAACAGTTGGCCCAAAGCCAACAACAAAACCAAATTCGAAAAAATTAAGAAAAACTTTAATTTAACTTAAAATTAGTTAAGCTGCTAGTTAAGCTAGTAACATTCTTATATTGGGTTATGTACTTCTAATACATCAATGCGTCCTTTGCACGGCGCGCCATCCTTGACGTATTTGGATCTTGTTGAAGGTTTTCGATGATGAAGGCTTTTCGGAGTTTTTAACCTAGTTTTTCACCGAAAGATCCAAGAATCATCTTCAGTAGGGATTTCTACATTTGTACTGCATTTTTAAGCCTAGTTTATGCAGCTTTTTAATGTAGCCTAAATATTGGTGTTGGTTATTTGGGGACTTGAACGTATTTTACCCATGCAATTTTTTGTGTTCTTGCAAGTTATTGCTACCCCTCTTTTACATTGAATGTTGGTGCACATTTGTGCCTTGCAACTCATGCTTTATGGTCTCGATTGCACAATAGTTTACACATTTATATATTCGGTTTCTAAAATAATTTTTTACACTACCTTTAGCGTGGATAACTTATTGCCAGCATGCGCATTCTGTATGGCTGTCAAGTCTTTTGCTGATTTTTTGCCTAAAGTGTTCATTTTTATTCCCTTTGGTTTTGCAAGGATGGAGAACGGTGTGACAGACGTTTATCTGGTTTCCCTTCCATCTGAGATAAAATCTCTTAAGATTGTCGGCACCAATCACTCAAATAACAGGGACGACGGTGATGTGTCCAACAGTAGAACTCCAAGTCCTACTAAGAGATGTCACGAGATGATGTTTATAGATGATGGAAACGCCTCTTCCGCTTCTTCCTCTGCCACCTCCACAAAGGAGCGCGAAAAACAGCACCATACCAGTGGTGACTCAGACCGACAGGGAAGCACTATTCGGTGTCACGTCGTCGAACCTCCTTCTTCCCTTCCACCACTCCCACCTCCATCACCACCGGTGTCTCCAGAAGTGTGCGAAAAGTCCCATGCACCTTCTCGTCGTCTTCCTACAGTGGTAGTACTTGGATACCAACGGGTTGTAGCTGAGTCCCAAGCAGCCGCTGAGCGGATGTATCAGCAACAGCAGCTGCTTCGGCAAGGCACTCACCTCAGTGACAGTCCCCTTACCCTGAGCATCGGTTCTAGCGGACTCATAGATCACAGTCTGCCCACCTCTCCACACGGTCGGAATAACAGAGTACATGCTGTAGTTGCAAGTATTTCGTTTGTTGGAGAGGATTTATACTTAACTATCCTTTGATTTCTAGGTAAAGTGTCCCCAGCCTGATGATCTTCCCTACGTGGCACAACCTCCTTCACCACAGTCTCCTCCCACCAACGCCTCGGATGATATCAATATTTCACCGGTCATTAGCTCATCCTCCCAGTCGCCGTCTCTACCATCGGTTACATTGCAAATGACCACCCCCTCTGATCAGCCAGTGTCAAATTCATCGCTCAGTAGCTCCCCGCCAGACGTAGGAGCTCTGTGGCCAGTGTTGGGCCCAAAACCTGTGGCCGAGGATGCGGAATCTATCGCCGAGTCAGTGTATCACCAACCACCCAAAGCGGCTGATCGCAGCGCTGCTTATCGATTGGCGCGCCGCCTCTTTACCTTGGACGGGTTCAAGATCAGTGACGTTGCTAAGCACCTCTGTAAAAGGTAAGCTAATGGTTTATGTCTCAGCGACTGCCATTTGGGAGAGAGAGCGATGCGGTGTTTTCTCTAGTATCTCAGTTGTGTTTGAACGTGGTGTTGTCGGTGTTCAAGTGACAGAAGAATAAATATTGACTTTTGTAACCATTGCGTTCAGTCTGAGGTTGCGACTTTAGGTTTCCCCTTGCTTAGCTGCACGTACGCCCTAGTGTGAGGGGTGCTCTCTTGGCCGCAGGAACACGTCCTAGTGACTCACCGGCCACGCACGCGTGCATACGTATGTGACCGCGCGTCTCAGTGAGTGTGGCGTCATCCTTCCCCCGCCCTCCCTACTACTTCTCTCACCTCTTCGCATGTAAATGCAGACACGTCCATGTCTTGGGTGCTGCAAATACTACTGCCCCAATTTTAGCGTCTATTGCTTTCACTTCCAAAGTTGCTACTATTGAAGCGTGAAGACTGGATCAGTCCTATTTTTAACAGCGACTATTGCAGTCGGGACTTGATAAGGTTAGCAAGTGAATGCATATGGGAACATTTGGGAATTCTGTAGCGGCGTCATATTTACCATTCCAATGGGAAGTTAGTGGTTAAATAATGACTATACGACTTTTACCTCTCGCCTTTACGTAGTGGAGATGGTTACGATGGTTAGAGGTAGTTCACTGAACATCTAATGTGTCTATGAAGTTATTTGTGTGAGAGTCGTATATAGCGTGATCGAATTTTTATGCAGCTAAGGGAAGGTAAGCACTACACAATTCATTCTGCCCATGTTCCAAGGATCAAAGGTCACCCTTGGCCTCATGATGGTGGTGATATGTGTACGGCACATGGGTTTTGATGATCCGGCAAGACATCTGATGTGATATCTAGGTGTCGAGGTAGTTACGCTTTTCATTTTTTTTGACGGCTAAATCTTAGATTCGTGTTTATGCCAAGATTAAACAATATGCTGGTCAGTGTTTTCGATGAAGTTGGTGAACGTAAGAAGAGAGGGATAAGTAGCTTGTCATGCCTAAGCGTGTCATATGATCGCTTTGTCCTGCAAACCAACTGCTCTTGCAATAATATGACGTCCGAATCAGGAGAAAGGACAGCCTTATCTTGCGCTAGTCATTATTGTGAGTAAAATTTACGCCCCAGAGCTAAAGTCTACTGTGGAGCTAATTACAAGTCTACTTGTTATTTTTTTGTGTTTAGATGCATACACAACACTTGAACTCTTGACTCCGTTTCCTCCCCTTGTCTCTCTATCACTGCTGAGATGAGGCGACATGAGCATTACAAATGATAGGCACGTTTTCAAGTGTCAAGGTGGACCATTTGACTGTATGCAGTAGTGACACATGAGAGAGGCTTAGAACACCTCATGAGAACTCAAACCTCGGTGCAGGCATCCTGTGGTTTGTGTGTGTGTGTGTGTGCGTGTATATATATACCCTTTTTGTAGTTGCCCACGCAACCGAGCTAAATAGACCTGCTGTGTGTGTATGTTGGCGTAATCGATAGGGCATCTCGGATGTTGTTGTTGCCCACTTTGGCACACACACAAACCCATGCCGCCTTCCCGCGCGTTCGCTTTTGCCCACCACACCGCACTGTTTCTGCTACCCGTTCAGTTCATCGTCTAACCGACCAATCTATCAAGCCACAAAATGATGCCCTCTACAGCTCTTTCCCTTGCTTATAGCTTGGTCCATATTAGTAGTGACGCAGAACTACATGATGGTAAGTGTGTAAAGAGGCAGTGTTTTGTTCTTCCATTTGACCCTTTCATAGTGGAACGGAGTAGCAGGTCGCTTAATTTATCTGAAGCCACCGTCCCCCCTTCCTCTTCCATCATGTCGAGGTGAAGATTCCCAGTGCCTTCTCAAAGGTCCACTCACTGGTTTTCGCGACAACCTAAGCTTCCCCATTTATCCATCAAAGTGGCATTGTACTACTCTGCTCATATAGGGCACTTATTTCTCCCCTTTTCTGGCTGGAATGGTTGGCACTTTTCAAAACCGGACACTTATTTTTAGCGTTGCCAGTTCATCATTCAGCAGGCGATACTCTTAAATACTTTGTTTTTTTATTTCGGAGTAGTAGATTACCCACCAAATTCTCTTCTGCGGAATCGATTGACCTATTCGATGGAGGAATTAGTAGAATAACGCACTAGCGTGAATAGTTGTCATGTCTTTTGGCTGATAGCTCCACCGAAAGTTGGAATCCTTTAACTGTGTCGGGGCTGACATAATGCTTTCTAGAAATGACTTTTCGCAATTGGTGGGCGAGGAGTTTGCAAGTTTCTTCGACTTCACTGACCAAACGTTGGATGCGGCACTGCGCCACTTCATGACCAAGTTCGCTCTCACCGGGGAATCGCAGGAACGAGAGCGCATTCTCTTCCACTTCTCGCGTCGTTATGTGGCCTGCAACCCCGGTGCCTTTGTCTCCGACGGTGAGTTCTCAATGTATGCGTGCCTTTTATTTCCGGTCCCTGTGGTCGGGCCGATGAACCGTCTGTGGAGCCTAGTTACTGCTGTGGGAATGTCTCCCTTTTTACGCCCGTGCTGATGAACCAAAAAAGCAGCGGCATATGCAGGCAATTGACGAAGGGATGAGAAAGTCGCCTTAGTCATACCTAAATGGCTGGTCATTAACAAAAAACCGGAACCTTCAGCTTAACCAGCCAATAGAACTGATTTTAAGATGTGCGTCTGCACACTTTGGTTCAAAAGTTGTCATACCGATCAACATCGCGAGGTGGCCTGCGCTACGTCTTCAATTCATCCATCGTGCCAGAGGCTGAAGATAGAAATGCCACTTCGTTGGAGATTGTGAGGGTCGTATATTCGGTACATGGGGCTCAATGTGATTTACCTGTTGGTACTGTTGAATCAAATGCCAATCGGTGAACAGCGAAGCCTGTAAGTTGGTAGGAGCGGGCACCTCTGGGGTGGGGTTTTGTGTGACTGCCTCATGATAGAGAGGCTTTACTGACCACCAGAGATTGTTGCATGTATGCGCTCATGTGCGCAGTTATGCGAGTCAATGTTGGGCGCCTTGACAAAAGGTTTATTGGTATGGCATGAATTACACTGACGTTCAAAAATGTGCATTTACACCACCAATTGGGGGGTGAAAGGCGGTCTTGCGGTTTGCTGCTGCTTGTATTACCTCCACGAAATCACATCCTGAGTATAGGTTTTTCGAAAATTTGCTTCTGTTTAATGGCGTGCTCTGTGACTTGAGTGTTGCCCTCAGTGCTTTCCATCTGCATTAATCAGTATGGATACATATCGTCTCTGCAAACCGAATTGTTTATTCACTTTCTTAACTTTACAATAATTGTTTGTCAAAAAATGCTTTAATATCGAAATAGCTCCTCCTGGACGCGTGTGACTTTGCTATGCAAATTAAGGCGGCAAGGTGACTTCGCAACACCTGCTAATTAGTGCATCCACTTTCGGAGGCAGATAAACTTGTGAAATGTGGAGAAATTAAATCATCATTCAAATCATTCATCTGTCCGACTTTCCACCTTATTACTGTCTGTCTGCTTCACAGCCCTGTGTGCTGTCTGTAGGTCCTCATCTATCCACAAAGGCACCTCCTCTGCGCTCGCCTTGGTTACAATCCTCACTGTTCGCCCTCCGGCCTTATGTCTGTCTTTTCGCCCCAACACTGACGTTGATTTGATTAAAGACTTTCCTTAGGCGCCTCCTCCTTCGAAATAATTGTTTTTTGGCAAGCTCGGGGTGCAGAGGCGGCTTCTGCTTTTTTTCTCCTAACTGCTAGAAGTTTTGCCTCTCGAAATCCTATCGCCTTTCAGCGCTTAAACTCTCACTCAAATCATTGTCTTTTCTCGCCCTCTTGCCTGCGAAGGCGCAAGTAGGATGGTGCTGCTTACCCTTAAAGTCTTCTTCTTCCTCTTCATCTCTCTGCGGAACGCAGTAGCATTGCAATATGCTGAGGTCTTGACTTTGACAGCCTTTGTCAATGGCAGAAATGATTTATTATTTGCCTCCACTCGATGGAACGTAGAGGCGTATTGCTGCAGTGGATCGCGCGTTTACACCGAAGAAATTAACATTTAGCCCAACATCTTACCGCCACACCATTCTTCTGCCTCACATTTCCCCAAGTCCGCATTGTGGTTGTGCCTCTGAGGAATCCGTCTTACCATACGACTGCATTACAAATTGTCTGTGGGAAAGTCTCCTCTCCTGGTTTCGAAAAGGATGAGTTTTTGTAGTAAAAGTAGGTGGAAACGAATGAAGGTGTGGGAGGGGGAAGAAAAGCGGCTCCTTTAGCTCAACTTTTCGGTTCGAAATCTACCATCACTGCTGGTACCTGACGGGAATGACCAATTTCACTGGCCTGTGCGCGTCAATCGGATGTGTTGAGAAGAAGCATGGAGGCTAGACATACACGGTAACCCGAGTGTTGGTCTGAACCGCAAAAGCTGACTTCAGAACACACCCGCACGACCGGTCGTCTATTGGCCAAACCGTTGTTTACGCTCACTGTCGAGTGATTATCTGCGTGAATCTGTGTGTGTGTGTGTGTGTGTGTGTGTGTGTGTGTGTGTGTG